CCACTCCTGTCAGCCAAGAACAAGACGATAAGTCTGTAGTGATCAAATTATCACCAAGACTGGACAGTTGAAGATCTGGCCAGACGTGTCCCATTTTCTGTCACAACATACAGACAGCTGGCTTAAAAATTGGTGAAGGCTACCAGGTTGGCTCCCTCGATGAAGCTGCTGCTTTGAGTGCACGGCAGTGGAGTAGCCAGAACTGAAAACTGGGTGGGCACAGAGCATCCCTTCACAACTAGTATTAGCCCTGACTTGTTCTCAATCATTTTCCTTCATTAATACATTTTCCAATTATAAGAATATTCCATTGGCAATTAGACACCCATCTTCTTTCTTAATGCGATCGAAGGGCGACTGAATAATTGGCTAAATTCAGTTCATAAAAATACGTTGTAATTTATTGATAAGAAGGCCTATGCTTTACAAAAGGTAAACTGCTCTGGAACTTCTGCGCTACCCTTTTGCCACATTGGGTGAACTAACCTGCGCTTCATGATCGTTGTAGTCTTTTAAATTAAATCAAAGACAGATATGAAACACCTTAACACAGTTTTGAATAAGGCTGATTGAAAAGCACCAAACTGTGCATCCAAATGAATGATTGTCACCTTATCCTGATGAGGAGAACTAGCAACACCTGATAACATGGAGTGTTTTCGGAATGAATGTACTGTTAATAAGAAAAAATGATTGAGAACAAGTCAGGGTTTGTAATGGTCGGCGATAGGAAACACCACTCGCAAGACAGAAACTCAAAACAAAGGGGTTTATTTACAAAACAAAAATAAATGGGGCATGAGGGCCAACAAAAAACTTTAGTCCAAGAGCTGAAAATATTAAAGGAAAAAACACAAGAACTACCAAGACTGTGGCAAACAAAGCAGGGACAAACAAGGCTTGAGGCAAACAAAGCTGTGGCGATACAAGGCTGTGATACACAGGAGAACATAGCAGGAACAAAAACATGGCATGGAACGCAGATTGAGAGATGGATCCCAACTGGCAGACCGGACCGGAGCTAGAAAACAGACATACAGAGCAAAAACATAACAGGGTTATTAACTGTTCTAAAGTAATGTTCTGTACTCACCCAATTTTCAGTTCTGGCTACGCCACTGGTGCGAGGGTAACCACCGTGGTTTGAGAATCAAGCGCCTTCCTCGGGCCATCTGGTTGCTGATTAGTTGTTTTCAGAACACACTCATGTTCAGCCTAGTTCTGTGCATATTTGGACCGTAACTACATGTGAAAAGAAGAAGCAGCTGACGTGTTTCGGAAGACAACTACCAACTATCTCCCAAAATGACAGCCTGAGCTGCGTACGAGCATGCTTGTACATATTTTGTTGATGAAGCATAACAAAATACGATGGAATTTGATATGATAAATTAACAGAAAAGAATACTAAATGGCGTACACTGCACATATCCATGGAATCCTCCTGGGTTGTGTCCACAGTGCCAGGGCTTTTAGTTGTGTAATGATGGAATGTCTGAACTAACATTTGGCCCTTTAATACCTACTGAACATCATTTGAATGAAACAACATACTGTAAGATTTCAATGATTTGACTAATTCTTAGTTCAGATGAGTACTGCGGAGGCCATCATAATAGAGTGTTGTATGCGGCTGGATCGCATTTTTAAGGCGGGAAGAAATGCAAATCTCGCTACAGTAGCAGACTATAGGACAGCATTGCTGTTGCTTAGGTGTTAAGATGGGTCCAGACATCTTGAGAGTAGAATGGTTTCAACATTATGGTAGGTATTAAGGAGAATGTTTATTGACACCTCCGAATGTTGAATGCAGAGATCACTTTCAGCTCTGGGAAGTGAGGAGACATATAGCTACTAGGTGTGAAACTCTCTCTGGATCACAGTATTAAAGTTTCCTGTAATTTTGTTCTCAGCTGTGTGGCATGAGACCCATTTATGAGCATGAGACTGCTTTCCATATTTTCTCAAGAATGCAATAAACTAGATTCAAGGACTGGCACTGAAACCCATTTCCCAGTTTTTCCACTGCTGACGTAAACTGTGGATTAAACTGCCAGTTTTGAAGGTTAAATCATCGACAGCAGAGAGAGCAATGCAGAGACATTCTTCAATACCTAAGCAATGTGGCTGACCATGTGCATCCTTTTATGACCACAGTCTAACTTTTTCAAATGGATAATTCCAGCAGGATATGTCAAGAGGCAAAGCACAAATCCTCTCAATCTTGCTCAAAAAATGTGACGATCCTTGACTGATAAATGCGCAGAAACTGTATTATGATTCAGAACGTGCCAAAATCTCAAATAAATGTCTTGAGAAACCTTGTTCAATACATGCTATGAAGCAATCAGGTTGTTCTGGAGGCAAAGGGATGTAGTATCCTGTGTACGTTCAGTATAGGGAGTAAAATACTTGGTGAGTTTTTTTTTACAGTCATCTGGCTCAAGAAGTGTGGTATGTAAAGCAAAAGTAGAAGCACCACAATGGTGGCAAACAAGTTTCCAAATTATACTCTCTGTCGCGTGTGTTTATTGTTCTGCATCATGGATTAAGATTCCCACCCATCAAGGGAAATCCTTGAAAACTGCTGTAAAGGTCAGCCCTGTCTATTCTGTTAATTATATATTCCCCTTATGAAAGTATCAGGGGACACTATGGATCAGCAGTTTTCATGCTGCATCCGGTGCTGCCACAGAGATTTAATCATAATGGCCGGCAATTGTTCTTCTAGCAATTTAAAATTTGGTGTGGAACGTCTTCATGATGAGCCCAGAAAACTCTGTGATTTTGGAAATAGTCACATAATTATTAAAAATATTAATTAATAAGGTATTAAAGGACTGGTGATACCTCTTTTGATCCATGGTTCCTTTGATTATTATTAGATCATCAGCCCCTTTCGTGGAAACTGAACCCCAGACCATAATATTACCACCTCCATGTTTTGCTGAAGGGGTTAAACAATCATTATTTAAATGTTCTCTAACTTTACGGTGCACATAAGTTCTGTGTTTGGATGAGAAAATTTTTGAATTTTGATTAATTGGTCAAAAGGACTTTTTTTTAATGTTGCCTGCTCTTCACAGCAATACCACCAATCAGATCATTTTCACGCAGGCGTCTGGAAAAAGTAGATCTTAATACTTTCATGTCTTCACTTCTGGCGCTATTAATATCATCATGGAGTAGTTGTGCTGTCAACTGCTGGTTTTCTTGACTTGTCATACACAGATAACGAACATCAGAGGCAATTAACATCTGTTTTGCACCTTCATTGCCACTAGTTTTCAGCGAACCGGTCTCTTTGAAATTCTTCATGGTGTTTCTTACTGTGCCATAGCAGCAATTAACGTCTTCAGAAATTTTTCGAAATGACCAACCAGCAACTTGGCCACAATGCGGCTTCGGACAACCTCAGAGAGCTTCTTCTGTTGTGCCATCATGTCTAACACTGTGACACTGCTCAAAGTTCGTCATCTTGTATATTTGAACAACTGATCATCAGAGGTAATTTTGCAGAATAATGTTTTTTTAGCATCAATAATCATGGAATGAGCATATTCAGGGTATGCAAGAGTCCAAAAAAAAATTGTAACACCTTTCAATTGTAATAAAACATTGATGTTTTCAGGGGGGTTTTTTTTGCAACATTGGGGTATTTTATTTTTTTTTTTTTTTTTGTATTGGCGATTGTGAGAATTGCAATAGTAGGATTTCATTAAGTTGTTACTTTTTCATAAATAGGTGATTTTTATGTTTTAAGTAGTCATTTACAATCTAAAGCCACATTTTGACTGAAATGTCCAGAAAACCAAAAAAAAAAAGAAAAAATTATTCACCGCTGCATCCAAAGATGCGAGTTAAAACCTTCCTATGCAAAGCAAAAGCACTACATCGACATTGTCCAAGAGCATTGCCGACTTCTCTGGGCTTGGTGTCATCTGAGATTGCAAGTAACAGAGTGGAAGTGTGTTTAGTGGTCTGTTATATCTACATTTCAGTTGGTTTTCGGATAAAACAACTGCTGTGTTCTTTGGACAAGGGACAGTAAGGAAAACCCAAGCTTCAGCATCAGGTCCAAAAGCCAGTATCTGTCATGGTGTGGGGTGTATTAGCAGATATGGTGTGGGTGACCCGCACATTAATGCAGAATGATTTGAATGAATTTTAGAATTACAAATCCTGCCATGTAAATGCTGTCTGCTCTAGGGATCTCCCGCATTTTCAGGCAAGACAACCACAAACAACATTCTGCATGGAGTACAAGTGCATGGCTGCTTAAGCTGAATAGGCAGGTGCTAGATCATCCTCCTGATCAGTCCTGATCTGTCTCCAATTGAGAATGTATGCTTTATACATTATGGGATTAAAAGATATGGTGATGTTTCACAGTGGTTTACAGTTGACTATGCCGACATTTTTGGAGGCTGTTGAAGTCATCCCATTATATATTTTCAATAAGCAATTAAATTCACATTAAAACATCACATACCATATTTTTGTATGGTTTTCAATAAAGTGAAGGGTTAACGGACTTTTCAGTTCAGTCCTTATTGATTTTATTTGCATTTTCCATGATATACCAACTATGACTTGGGGTAGAACTTCAGTTAAGTGTTACAACACTATGTCAACATTATGAATAATGAACATGTATTTTCAGTATTCCTCTGCAAAAAATATTCTGGGCCTCTAAGAAGGTTCCTGAACCTGGGGCCTTAATGCTGTGGCAGGGCACTGGCAGTGTGTGTGTGTGTGCAACATACATAAGTTTCCATCCATCCAGTCTCTGTACTGCTACCATGAGCTGGAGCCTATCCCAGCTGACTATGGGCAAAACACAGGGACCCATCCTGCACAGCTCGCCAATCAATCGCAGGGTGCACGCGCCTTTCACATGCACAAACACACCTGTGGGCAACTTAGCATCTGCAATTAGCCTGATGTGCATGTCTTTAGACTGTAGGAGGAAACCAGTGTACCTGCAGAAAACTCATAAAGGCCCCAGTGCGGAATCGAACCCACAACCTTCTGCTGTCAGGCAGCAGTGCTAACCACTGTGCCACCAATACCATTATGGCTTGACTACTATTATTATGATTGTAGTTTACTGATAGTAGTACCATAAAGAAAAGCTCCAGGCTAATTGTGGATGCATCTGTATTTTCTGCTGACAATCATTTCTAGTTTGCATCTCGCTGCCTGTTGCTGCTCTGCCAGTTGACTTGTTTAATGTGGGTAATATCCTATCATGATAGCAGAAACATTTATTATATATAAAAAAAAATCTTTCCGTGATCGTTATTTGCGTTCATTGTAGTAATGAGCAAAAATGAATGTATAAAACAAACAACATATACAATGAATCATGTTTTTGGCTCAAACATACTGTAATGCAATACAATAAAAAAAAAATAGTTACTTAAGTTGAATTTTGTAGCTCAAAAATATGTGCTTCAAAGTTCTTGAAACCCCTTTGATCAATTTTGGGTGGAACCTCCTTCAGACAGGATACGTAAGTGCACAAACTTATTTCCTTTTATGTCTCATAAGGTTGCTGTGGCATCTTGGATAAATCCTGCATGCAAAACATTTTAAGATCCTTGAAGTTCTTCGGTTTGCACTTGTGGGCTACCCTTTCCAATTCCAAACACAGGTCTCTATTAGGGTTCAAGCCTGTAAACTGAAATTTCTATTACAAAATATTTTTCCTTTTATGTTCACAAAACTTTTGGGTTCCCAAAACTATGCCTTTGTTGATTTAGATGTATGCTTGGAGTCAATATCATGCATAAAAATTAATCTAGGGGCAAGTGTCAGCTTATTGAGAGGTAACTAGTTGTTGGGTGAAAATATCCTGATACTTGTAATCAATGGTAATTGGTAATCAATCACTGTTGATACAGATAACTATAACAATAATAAACAAAACAGAAAATAACACAACGAACATAAAAAAACTACAGCAGAATTAAAATCTTGGCATATTATCATGCCATGAGAAAATGGAATGTGAATGAGAATGTTATTGCTTTGAACTTGTTTCTGACAATTTGAATTGGAAGCTCACTTTTCAATTTTTGAAAGAGCAATTTGAAGTTTGAAATTAAAATTCATACTAAGTAGAGATCTAAAATTCAAAACTGAGTATGCATATGAATATTCACTTTCTGTGAGTGTTTTAATTCTGTTTTGGTTATTTTTCCATTCATTTGTTTAATTTCTGTGTATTCTCCTGTTTATTATAGTTATTTCGGTTTTTCTTTTTTGTCTTTCCATTCCGATCTTAGTTCACATGTACCTCTGTTTTCATTAGCACTGCCTCACTCGCCCTCCCCATTCTGTTTGTTACCGCTTGCCATGAGTTCCCTTGTTTGTAGCCACACCCCCAGTCACGCTTTCCAGCTCCAGCACACCTAAATTTACTTACCAGTTGATAACTAATTACTCCATTTATGTAGACCCAGTTTTCCCCTTTTTACTTTGCAAGTTCATTGCCTTCCCAGTCACCATGCGAGCCTTGTATCTTCTAGTGTGTAGTATGCATGTCCACTGATTGGCTTTGAACCACATTGTCTGACCCTGAGAAAATCATCAATAAAACTTGTGGAACTGATTCTCTGTCTGCACATTCTGAGTCCTGAGTCTGAACCTGACGATAGCTCCAAAATTGTATATCAATATTACAAGTATATCAATAGTATTTTTACCTCTTATCATTATCAATTTCATCTGTGAATTCTGAAAGTTGTATTATGCATTACAGTGTATGCGATTGTTGGACTTGTTGATGGAAGACTTTGAAGGTTAAACCTTGTGCTTATCAGAAAGTCAACAAAAAAAGGCCCATCTTTTTTGACTACAGGCCTGTCTTCCTTTTGATTGGGCACTACTTTCATACAGAGCTATTCTTATTGGGATTCCGCACACATACAACATTGTTTTGGACTGCTTGATTGAAGAGAACATGAACTTTGCATTAATGATGTGAAATGATCAATAGCCATAGATGCTGCCTTTGTTATCTATTGAAAAACCATGGCTCTTTTATCCATCCGCTTTTGTCAGCATGTAGTGGTTTAGAGGGACAATTTGAAAGCGACGTAATGATGAAATGAATGGTGCTTTAAGACACTAAACTCTATTTTAAGGGTATAAAAAGTCCCTTGCTTGGTGCTTTCAGGCGCTGTCACTGGGGAAGATATTTACTGCAGAGCAAATCTGCCCTAGGACATTTGAACCACTGTTGACAAATTCAGTCCTGTTGATTTTTTTTTTTTTTTTTTTTTTTTTTTTGGGCATTTTTACTGCGAGTGGGTGGACAGAGAGCTGAGTCATTTGTTTTGCTGGTGTGGATGGGTACCAGTTAATGAGCTGCCGGGGCACCGTATACTGGCCCCTTCTCCAACTCTACACACCCGAACATAAACACAGAACAGGTTGAAATGAAAAAAAGATTGATTTGTCGGGTAATTACATAGATATTTGTGATAATTATTTATTCCCCACAATGCAAAATAATCAAATACAGCTATAGGCTTCTAGGCTATAAGGCTATAGACAATTTTTGGCCGACATTATACGAGAGATCGACCATCACTTTCTGAACTGAACAAAGAGAGCTGTGTTTTATGTCGACCACTTCACAACCAAAGCTATAATACAAGCTCAGTATAAGCTTGTCAGATAATATTTGTTTACGTAGGACAGCCCAATGTGAACATCTGTTGATAGCAGGTTACGGCAGTGTTGACCCCATCTTGTTCGTTAATTTCCTTGTTGAAGTAAAAGTGACAGTTGAAATTATCAACAGGTCATTTGTGTCACAAAGAACAAGCATTGTCAAAAGGCTTGCGCTGTGCTGTCACTCTAGATTGGACATTGAGTTTTATTTATTTTGATTTGACTGATGTTGTGAGTGTAGGCTGCCGAATTTGCTGTCATGCTTCTGTGTGATATTAAAGTGAGACCGTAATGATACAAGCCTAAAAGGATGTAGCCTAATTCATATAATGTTAGATAATATTTGCTCCCCATTTCCTTCACTGTTATAAATTGACTGAATTTAACAGTTAAATTTAATGTATTGCCTCTTTGTTATTTTAACTTAAACTTGTTAGTTTAAGTAGCGTCCTGCCCACATTTAACTGTGGTTTACAGTTAACATACACTGAACTTCTGTTATAAACTGATTGTAAAATTACAGTTGAAATAACTGGCAAAAAAGGTGCCAGTTTATAACAGTGTACTGCGGTACAGTATTACGCATTTAATTGCTGTTTCTGTGGAAATATTGCTACGGTCATCCCCATTCCCACTGTCCTTGTGGGATTGTTTCATATTTTGTCCCAGTATCTGTGGATATCTGTGGTATTATCGCTGTTTCAACTCCCATACAGCTCTTCTGTACTGGTGCATAGCACATCAGTATTTCCTACAGATTTTGGGGGTTTGAAAGTCCTCCCAGCTAAAAACTCAAATATGACTCTTATGTTAGATCAGAGGAGGTCATGCACCAGTTTTCATCCTCTGAGATAATCTCATTTAGTCATAAAACTCATTATGGTTTGCTTTCATGCATGTGCCGCAGCCTGCATTCATTGATAATCAAACAAGTGTGAGATATCTGTAGCCTGTGAAAAAATAACATAAATACAGTAAATAATAATAATAACAATCCTCATCATCGTCATCATCATCAACTTCTTGCATTTAATGCTTTAGTCTGATGTACAGTGCAAAGAGCTTAACAGACATTTTAAAACAAAGTTGAAATCTAGCTATTAGAAATATGTTCAGATACTGAAAAAAAATTGTCAAAGAAAAAAAAAAAAAAAAAATCTGTTTTCTTCACTACACCGGGCTAATTAATTCAGATCATGCCCTTTGATCAGATAGTACCGCGGGTTCTTGAACATATGCCCAGTTTTTGAAAACTGCTCATTAATTGGTGGCTGCAATGTATTTTGTACTTGTCAGAAACTTGTCTCATCCTTGTAATATTTTTGTTAACAACCTGTTTAACACTTTCTTGCATCATATACTGTGAAACTGGTTCTGGCATGCTCAGACAAGTCTAGTGAACTCCAAGGGCCCAATTAAACAGCATGCACAAGGTCAAACAATATGAGCATAGACAGATCACTACCCCTCTATTCTGATTTTCCACCTTCCATTTCTTGCCAGCAGTATACATGCAACTTAGCGGATGGCAAGATCTCGGCGGGGGGGGCGTGTTTACACGTGTAGATGGCACCAGTGGGAGTGTCATTTAAATGAGGTCGCGCAAAGATATATTGTCCTGAAACATCAGGTTGTACGTGTATGACTTACAGTAACCATGTTTACACTGAAGTACAGCCTATTCCCTGACATCATCAGTACTTGCCACGAAATGCAGACCCAAAATGGACCTGTTGGTGAAAATGGAATAAATTGTCACATACTTATTGGTATAAAAATGAATAACGTTGCTGCACTGCGCAGCAGTAGTGACCATCATGACCTGGGTTTGTACCCGAGCCATGGCTGTAGCTGCTGGTACCTTTTTAACAGCTGCACACAATTGGCCTTGCGCTGCTGGGCACACAGGGGGGAGAGCCGGTCTGGGTTGTAGAAGTGTTAGCTGCTCAAGTGCCTCCTGTTGGCCAGCTGAGTACTCGTCAGTAAAATTCTGAGCTTCCGCATGTTGGGGTTTCCTCCGCCCTTGTCCTGAGCTTGCGACGTTTAGAGCTATGAGTACAACGTATAAGGAAGTGGAGATAGGGAGGTACGTGGTTTGGAGGAGAGCTGCAAATTGTCCCTCTCTCCAGAGATGGCAGCATGGGTCACACAAGAGCATGCTTGTATACATAGTTCACCAATACATACATGCTGTGTGTGTGTGTATATATATAAACAATGTTCTGTATCATGATTGTATCATGCAGTATTGTATCATCATAGATGTAAAATTCATGTTATTACTAGCATGAATCTGTCATTGATAATGATATAATTTGACTGTGGAGCTTATGTGTAATTTCTCACAGCCAGCTTTACCCTACTGCCAGAGTATTTAAGAGAGGGTTGA